GTGAATCAGTTAGTATCGATATTCGTAGCACCATAGTACAGCTCGTCGAAGGGACAAGTGAAGCCCATCCTTTGACAAAATGTGTGCTAAACTGTTGTGATATCTCCCCTTCTGCACACACAAGAGACTAGGGCATGGCAAGTCTTAGACTTAGTATTAGGGATAGAGACAGGATAGACGCGGCAGTGATTGGAGCTAGTTGGCTGGCAGTAGGTTTTACAAGAGACGTGGTCCATGTAGCAAAGGCATGACTATGAGACTTACTCAGAGGCTTTAGCCTCGAATCAGTCACCCAAGTGCAGGGGATGGGCGAATTACGCCTCGAGTAGCACAGATGGGGGTGCAGGGGTCAAACGTAATACGTGTACCAGGCAGATAGCAGACGGATTTTACGGAGCAAGAGAGAGACTTTCATAGGACCCAGGGAAGAACCACGTAACAATATGACAGACTCTGGTCAACATACCAAAACAAGAGTGAAGGGGGTGAGAACGACAGTGTGGAGTGTGAAGGGTTTACATAAATGCCGCTCGAAGAAGCACACCACGCTACAGCAAAATGAGCACAGTAAAAATTGTGACAGTGAAGGCATGATAGGAGGATATAGAAAATGTGAATAGCCCAAAGCAGAAGGGGAGATATCACAAAAGTTTAGCATACGTTTGGTCAAAGGATGGGTTTCACTTGTCTCTTTGACGAGCTGTACTATGGTGCTACGAATGGCGAGACTCACTGACGATGCCGGCGAAACGTCTGGGAAAGTACCACGTCCACGGTCCGATTCTGGAAATGATCATGCATACAATGGACTCCGGACTGATGCGTTCCTCTAAGTCTTCCTACCAATGTGACCGAGTTCCGAAAAAAGGAGTAATTTTTACCTAACTTCGATGTGCACTTTCGCAAGAGATGAGGATCACCACAACACTGTTGCATACAATTTTACCTTACACTATATCCCATAATTGTAATTGTAAAGAGGATGAGCTGCAGTTTCGGCTTCGCCGGCGCCCAAGCGCCACACTCAAAGGGATTCAAAATCGAACATGCATAATAGTCTTATCGGTCGACGGTGGCGCTTCATTCCTAAAAGATGTTAACCGATTATCTAGAAACTCAAGAGCCAGTTGGCCAATCAAGCTTACATGGATCCTGAGCAACATCTGTCCAAATATTCGAGAGCTCTAAATGGCCCGGAGAACGTGAGTACGCCCGCAGTGCATATGCCCTCTGGAAGGCAGTAAAAGAGTCAATGCAACACAAGATGGGCAGATGAAATAGAGTGGGATCTATAAGGTTACGAGAGTAGAATCGACTGGCCGGGAAGGAAAGGTAATTCATGAACAGGACTACGATGGCTCTAGCGTGGATAATTTCATAAACATGTCTTAAGAGCACACGGGCGCAGTCGATACTTATTCCAGACCAACCATCTGAAGCAAGGAAGCCTCAACGATCTCATTTTCTGGAGCATAAAGCCGAAACGTCGAGATGACACGGGAAATTGTCTGTGAGCCATTATGCTTGAAAAAACGGGGGGATTGAATTAGTAAATTCGTTTCATGGGAAACCAGAGGAAGCTGGTTTAAAGGAGACCTCAATCCGCGGTCCTGCGACCTGGAAGAATCCCTGTCGTTCATTTACGAGAAATCCACCCAAGCAAAAAAACAAGAAAGATGGTAGGTTGAAGTTTTACTGATGTTCAATCTTACGATCTTTAATCGGGCATCCGATAATTCATCGTTACCTTGGATGTTTGCCGATGAGGGAAGCTTGTGCATGAAAACGACGTGATTGTGATCGCATCTGCTTCCTTATATAAAACACATAGTGTGCTTTAGGTCTGTGTGGTTGCATTTTTACTGCGTGTATGCAATGCTGAGGATTTAATCAAGCCCCGACTTAGTTGATGGTTCGTTTGTCTCCTGTCCTTTAATCACATCCTTAAGCAACTCAGCGTGAAGTAGACAATTAAATTATGTGGTGCATCGGTAGGATTGCAAAATTAAGTATGAGAAGTAAGCAGGATTTCAGCCTGTCACATTTCGTGGTTCAGTGTTTGGGTTAACTTTTCACAAATGATAGTTTGTGGCTCTGACGACGTTTGTCAGGGCGGGACTGACTCGTTGGGGTCGCAGGAGGGCGAGCACAACACAAGTCACAATTGCAAGGCAAACGAACTGAAAGGTACGCTGTCATTACTCCATCAAAGGGGGCTTCAAAACCCAGCCATATTTACTGGAAGGTGAACTATGAGGAAAACTTGTGTGGCCTAGCCTGTGAAGTTGGCTGGATCGATTCATTTTCAACAGCCACAGCGTGCACCTCACTGTGAATCATAGGCCGCTTTGTCTCAAAGCTGGAGAGCTTACCTCTTCGGCGATAAGGATCGATATTAGACGAGCTGGGACCAGTCGCACGAGTGGATCGATAATAGGCTAGCTGAAGCAACTGGACTGCTGAACCAGTCAAACTGATCAGCACTCAGTTTAGGGCCGAAATGTAAGCCAAAGTCTGGCATAGCCAGACTCAGGGAGTTGCCTGTGCAGGTGCGCTTCATCTGCCCCGGCTTGTATTCTTCCCGTACTGCACTACAGCGCATTCACCGTCACAATCCGTGCCGTCCATGGGCCCCGCATTGCGTCGACAACAGGGATCCAGCTCCACTGTAAAATTGCAGGCCTCCTGTCGACGACGTTAGGTCGACTCTACGCCCCCTGCTTACTCTTGCAGCGGGTCTCTTGAAGCAAATAGGCGACATGACCGGTCAGCGTGTTGGAGAGTGTCGAAATGGGCCGACAAAGCGAGAACTGTACTACCACTTGACCAGTGCTTCTGTGTTGGGATTTAGCGTCTTCTTTGTCGACCGGCCTTGCGGACTGGCCCCGATTCCGGTGGCCCTGGCTCCAGACTGCTTCATGTGTGCACATTTACGCCACATTTACGGGCATACAGGGTAGGTACACGAAATGCAACTGATGCAAAGGTTAGTTTTCTAGAAGAATATCGGTCATGTGAGGCTCACCTGTGAATCGCAAGAGCACGCTGATACTGGGCCATGCAGGTAGGCACGATGGATTTGATCAGCAGAGGGGGCCGGCTGCCAAGGTGTAGCTCTTCTCGTAGGTTGCAGAGAAGGTAGATGTCCACAGCAGCTCTGAAAAGAAGGACGGTAAAGTAGACAGAGATCTTATGATAATCGTGAGGAATTAGCCGTTTCTGGCTGGCTAGGCCATTTAGGCGAACAGGTGATTGCGGCAGGTCCCCTCAGGGAAAAGTATTAGACGCTTCTCAAACCGTTCAAAACGTCGTAGTGCTCGACTGCTGGGGCAGGCAGAAGGTGAACATCACACTAAAGCTGGCCAGTCTGTCGAGACATAAAGATGGTCATACACGACTTTTGAAAGTACTCTGGCCAGCAATATGAGGATCAGAATTGCCATACAAAAAGGTAACTGAGCCGCGATTTAAATTCATATCTTACTTTGCTACTAGTG